TTCGATACATGTTCTGTCGACTGTGTACCGCTGCGTGTGGGGGTCATGCGACCGACCCCGCACGTCAGCCTGTAATTCCTTTGTGCCCACTCTCGCCTCCCAGCGGCTGCACCCGCAGGCCGCAAGGCGCCGCGCGCACCCACTGCGCGTACGGCCGCCCCGCGCCCGGCCATTTTGTAGGCCTGGGCCCACACTGCGCATCCGAAGAAGACGAGCGCCCCGCAAAGCCCGCCGGCCATCCGGCGGAGGGAGCCCCGCGGCCCCATCGGGCGCCTCGGCGGGAGCATCGCCCGCGAAAAGACCGAAAACCACGCCACCTTGGATCGACGGGGCGCGTGGTACTCCCGGCCCCTTGTCAAGCCATAGCGGCTCTTTAGTAGTTGGTTGGGCCACTTCATACCGCGTGGGGCAGACGCGCCCGTGGCTGCCGCTCCAATGGGGGCTAGGCGGTTGACCGCTGGAGAACTGGCCCACCCAGGGCTCTCCCCCGCTCAAGCCGCCCAGTTACAATTACACACTGGTGAGGCTACTTAGCCGTCCGCCACCATCGCGGCGCGATCGATTCTTGTTGAACCCTCCTTTCTTGAAGGTATTTTCGACGTTGGCCAAAGCGTCGTGAATCGCGACGTGGGACCTATGGATCCCCAACCGTCGTTGGCCAAGAGATTGCCAGGCAAACTGCCTCTTAGCTGTCAATAAGGGCCATCCTAGGCCACTGGTAGGGCCGCCATAAGTCGGGGCAGCCACGCAACTCCACTCCCGCGTCGATTGGGGCAAACACACAACACTGAAAATGAAGATCCGCCACTCCTGCCCTTCGAGAAGTGGGAGATGCACACCTTTACCACAGGCCCAGCAGGGCCCTCGACTCAGGGAACCGTCCTGAGCTCCGAAACCAACCAACGTACCTCTGCCGTGTCAAACGGATGCAGTCCAGGCGCTCCTGTTGCAGAGCCGTAAATGCCAGACCAGCCAATTCCTCAGGCTGATGGGCAATCGAATGCGGTCCCAATCGATGGGAGACACCGCGGTCGCCTCCTTACCCGCAGGCGAAATGGGAAACGGCAAGGGAAACGGGGATGGAGTCGCAGTTAGAAGCGGAAACACTCAAGTCAACGTTCGAAGTGGTGGGCCCATATGTGCCGCCTTACACGGAAGGTTTGTCTTATATACAACATTACTCCCGAGTGCCGCGTCCTGTTACGCGCACCGGCCTGATGTGGGGGACGCCCTACTACTGGCCCTTGGTGTGGGGGACGCCCTGCCCAAGGTCGTAATATATTCCTTGTCCTACAGTAACCATTATACTTATATGGATATGGGAGTAGGAGGGGTGGTCCCGCCTAGGTCCCCGTACCTAGGTGCCCGGCGAGGCGGGTCCGCGGCTCAAAGAGGGCAGGAACCCCACACCCATAGTCTTTTCGTATCACGTCCCCTCACGTGCAGAACTCCCGGATGCAGTACAAAAGAACCTTCTCCGTCCTAGCGTACCAACCCCTAACAACCAATCCGCACCACAATCCCTGTTTGAGCCCTTTGCACGATATTCCCGAGCCCCTGGCGCACCAAAGTGACAACTCCCAGATTCGAAGGCATTACTCCCGGATCGACGTGAAGTCGCATCGCCATCCACACGTTCACAATCTGACAGGTTGCAACAACTCCCGACCTGTTCCAGGTCATTCCCGGCCTTGGCGGTCTGATCCCCGGCCTTCACGATCCACTTCCGGCCTTGACGATCCAATCCCCGGCCTTGACGATCCACTCCCGGCTCTGACGATCCAACCCCCGGCCTTGGCGACTCACTCCCAGCCTTGACGATTCAATCCCCGGCCTTGGCGACTCACTCCCGGCCTTGACGATTCAATCCCCGGCCTTGGCGACTCACTCCTGGCCTTGACGATTCAATCCCCGGCCTTGGCGACTTACTCGCGGCCTTGATGGTCCTACTCCCAGACGTAGTGCTTTACTCCCGACTTTGATGATCCAATCCGGGAGTAAGGTGGGAGTCCCGGGAGTTGTATCCAAAGGCGCAGCCAAAGGGTGCTGGAGTTGAGAAGGGGTCTTGCTGGTGTCAGGGAGTCACCTAGCGGTTCAAGGGCTCCAAGGGATGTGGGTTGGAAGGTCATCAGTGATGGTCGCCTGGTTCGAGGGTCAACAGAACAAGGGAGTTAGTTTGCCAATCATTATCCCATGATCAGAACGGTCGTATATTCCTTCACCACAGTCCATCAGTGTTGCTCAGTCACGTTCGCATAAACCACAAGAGTTCCTAATCAAAAGTAGGCAAAACTTCAGGGGTACTTAAAAATTCGGCACACGTCCGTTCCGTGGCTGAGAACAGTCCCAACAGCAGCCTTATCTCTTCCGGGCCAATCCCGCTGTTGGTCTTGGACTCTGAAGACCCCCGCGTCCCCATCACCTTCCACCTCACTGACCTTGAAATCAGCGTGACAGCATTGCTGTGCGCACGGCCATCAAGCCCTGTACGACTGTGAGCGTCCTATAAATGGCTCCACATCCTTGCGGGCAATGGGTCTTCGCAGTCGTAGTCCTACGGGAGCGACGGAAGCGGGCTCTGGCGGGCGATCGCTGGGAGCCTGCAGGCCAGGTGGAGCAGAAGCAGGTGGGGAAGGCGCTGAAGGGCGCGCTATTGAGCATTTGAGGCAGGCCGGGTATGCAGGGTTGGCTTTGTGGATGGGGCTGTCGGCGGGCGGGGTGCCCCTGGCAGTGTCGACCTGACGCCGGGACGGAGTGATTGCAACGGTTGATATGAAGAGGCCGCGGCGTTTGTGTGTGTGGGGGGGTGGGGGTTGGGCCGACATGCCCGCAAGGCCTCTGCTCTCCTTTTGTGTGTTGGGAATGGAGTGCGAGGTGTGATCCGGGATATGGTGGATGAGGTGCACTGCTGCGATCCGCGCTTCGCTCCCTGTATCCCCTTCGCTCCGCCGTCTCCCCTGTGTCACACCCGTGCGAGCGGTATCGAACTATCGGGTCTGGTAACACGGTCCCAGCAGCCATTCATGCTGGGGCGGTCGTTTCAGACTAACCAATTTGCCAGGCATTCGTCCCCAATTCTCCCAACTCGCCTCGACGTGCTGCGCACTGTGACGTGCGGCTGACAAGGACGCGGCCACGCAGAAAAGGGGGGTGGGGGGCGCTGAGAAACCGGGTTGTTTCTATGAGTGTCACCCGCCGCGTGAACAGATCGGGCGAGCGCCATGGACCCGCCGTCTTTGGACGTCCGACGTCGGGGGCCCAACGTCGAGCTCTTGGGGTGGACGGAGGCAGTGAAACGGCCAATGAGTGAAAAGGTTTCCAGCTGTTGCACCGTGTGCCGAGCACAGGTTCGAAGTCTCTTGGGCAGTGTTTGGTGGTTCTGACCGACGTCGAGCTGAAATGCTCAACGATACAGAGCCGCCCGCAGCCGCAACGTCGCCTTGCCGGGAACCGCAGTAACTGGCACCCATGACAGTTCCCTCTTTCACATCCAATGCCAGGCCCTGTGTTGTGCCACCGAAGCGAACTGGGCAGGTCCATAGGCGAAACAGCATCCTCAGGAGGCCACAGGCTGCCTGACTGAGTTCCGAATGCTGGGGATGCTGGAGTCTGCCGGCACGGATGACTCACAACGGTTCCTGGCAAAGCGTTCTTCATCTGTGCGACGGTCTGTGATAAATCGACCAGGTCAACAGGGACCGGTAGTGCGGCGCTCCATGTCCATGGACGTGAGGCCGTGCTTGCCGGGTGCCGGCCTGGACCAAACCCCTGTCAGACTTGGGCTTGGGCGACATGCGTGCGCTGCATGAGGATGGCAGAAGGAATCATCAGCGGGACCGGCCTGGCGGTTCCTTGACCGATCCTGGTGTTTTTCCTCTCTGGCGACGGGGCCTTCAGCCAGAGTTGGGCAAGGGGGAGCGCTGGCGGACGCCGTGGGTTTGCGCTGTCTTTGTGGAGTGGTGGCTGTGTGTGTTCGTGTACGACCCATATGCGCACACGTAATGGTCCAGAAACGGCTGGGCGGACCGCCAGGGATTGTGAATCAACACTATGGTTGCATCAGCGACCGGCCCTTGCCCGGTGACGCGCCTTACGTCGAGTCATTGGTGTTTGTGTCCCAGGGGCCGCCAGCCCTTATCCCCTGCGGGGTGTTTGCACCTTTGCGGCAGAGGACGGGGCGGACGTGCAACTGCAGGGTTGGCCACCTTGCGTCCAAGGTGCAAACGTGATGCCCAGCCGCGACGAGGCGTTGCCGCACAGGTCATCGCCATTCGACTCCCCACGGTGTCGCCGACCCCAGCGGCGTGCTGCTGGGCGCCCGTCGCGGCGATATCTTATCCCGGTGTTCAGGTGCGCCCAGAAACCTTGCATCCTCTCGCCGGGGCTGCAAGCGACTGCTGTCACAAACGGCGGCCTTGGCGCTGGGTTGTTTGGCTCCATCGGCTCTCTCCGATGTCATCACGTGTCGCATGCCAGGAAGGGTCGTCATCCCATGGGATCGTTTCCGCAGGCTGTGTCGGGCCTTTGGTAGCGCAACGGGCGGCGCTGGGCTGTTTGGCTATGGCCTGGGCCGTTTGCTCGGGTTGCGCCCTGGCCGGGGGGCCGCCGACCGTTGCCGTTGCAGCGATCGGGGCATCGCGCGGGTGTGGCTGTTCGTGGTGTGCGTGGCCCCTGGTGGGAGATGCCGGCCCCAGGGTGGACTGGGGGTTCTGCAGTACAGCCCAGCCAGGGGCGTCGACCGACGCTATGACTGTCTGCCTGACATTGGCCATCATAATGACCCCAAGATAATGAGTACTCAGGCTCACGTGGGGCCCCGCCCCACCCCAAGCGCACCGGGCGCGAGGCCAAGCCGCCCTGGGCAGCGTTCGGGCGGCGCGGCCTGACCTCCCGTGGCACCCTCGTGCGGGGCTGCTGTCTGGGCTGCTGTGAGCCTTGCGCGATGTGGTGCTCTCGCAGGGGGGGGTGAGTCGTCGTTTGGCAGGCGCGGGGCGACTGCCATGGCGCCGACGACGAGGGATCGCTGCGAGGCGATTCGGGGAGAGGACTGCGGGGAGCCCTGCGCGGGGCCAGCAAGCGATGGCTGCGGTCCTGAAGGCACCCCTGGGAGCAAACAGAGTTCTTGTGTAGTGGAGATGGGTAGTTCTGACCGGAGTGGATGCCGCCGGCATGGACGGGAGCCGGAGAGCTCGCCCAGGCGAGCATGGATGCCGATAACGGCGTTGGCCCTGGGCTCTGTGTCGGCCCAGGTCGTCCAGACTGTGGTCCCCGTTTGCCACGGTATTGCCTCCTGCGCCAGCATGCTGCAGGCGAGCGTCAATTGGACGACGTTCTTCGCGGTGTTCAACCTGGCGATCATGTTGGACGTCAGCGCCCCCGGCGCCTGGATAGGTGCCGACCACGACGCCCAGCTAAATACCGCAGACTGGGCCTGGAACAATGAGCACGTTGGCGAGAGCATGCGGGGCTTGATTCGGTACTCTGAGCGGCGGTCTGGGGACGCCATAGTTGTCAGTTTCGTGGAGGTGCAGTGCCTGACGCAGTATCAGGGGGAACGCTCTTGGGTGTCCGCGTCGCGGGCTGGATCCAATGCGAGCGTCATCTGGGCAGTGAATACTGAGGGACAGCCTCAGGCTTACATGTGCGGCGCCACCGCCGATGCCCTGCTGGGAGGGCAGATGACCGACGGGCAAGATGCAGAAGAGAATGCCGCGGCGGAGAAAACATGGAAGGGAGTGAGGGCCGACCTTGCGGCACAGCGGCCCAAGTACGACGACGCCGAGAAGGCCCTGCGCGAGTGGGTGGTTTATCGGGTCGTGGAGAAGGCGGGCCCGATCTCCGACCCGTCCGACGGCCCGGAAAGCCCGCGCGCTTACGCGCCTTTCGCAGCGACGAGAGATGTGTGGATGGACCAGGAGCTCGGGAGGCTGTTTTCCGACAACAAGACGGTCGCCGTGGCCATCTCAAACGCCTTTGGCGTGACCAACTCGACAACAGTCGAGCGCGCAAGCTTGGACGTGAGGAGGGGGGTTGGCGCCAACGCGAGCGTCCTGGCGAACAGGGACAGGAGCAGCGCGTTGTGCAGGGGGCCTGTGGCGCAGGGGGCCGCGGCGGGTATCAACTTGTGCCGCGGGGGCAGTCTCATGCTGGACAGGCAAGATGCGGCAGGCTTTACCCTCTCAAACGGCGCTCTCGTGCGGCGCGAGTTCATCGGCGTGGCCGCCAGGACGGGCGTGTACCCGCCCAAGTACGCCGTCTTCGACCAGGCCGGCCCGCGCCCGATCTTCGACCTGGAAGACGAACCGAGCTCGTCGATCGACGAACTCGGGACGATGACTTTCCACAACTGGGAGGCCCTCCGCACGGTGGAAACGCCAGGGGGCGTGGACGAGTGCGCGGCGATGTTCTACGGGCGCATGTCCCCCGGCGTGCCCTACGAGCTAACACTGCGGCATGGGCCCCCGGGTCCGACGTGGCAGGAGCCTGTGATTGGATGCGACGTCCGCTCGGAGGCCGTCCCCACGCGCCTCCTCCAGGCGGCCGACAAGGCGCTGGAGGCCAACCTGCTGGGTGGCGGCGACGACCGGCCCAAGCCCGCGTTGCCCAGCCAGATCGCGGCGATCTGGCTCTTCGGCAGCCTCGCGGCCGCGCAAATGGGCTGGTGGATGGTCTGCGGCCTGCACTGCCTGCAGGACGGGTTGTCGATGCTCGCGCAGGAAGCCGTCAGGGCGTACGCCAAGCTGCAGGGCAACGAGTCGGGTGTACCCAGGCTGCGCCGCTTCGAGCAGCACGTGAACATGTACATGTCCTTCTACACCGATTGGTACCTGACTGTCCGCGCCTCCACGCTGCGCGCCTACGCCGCGGCCTTGGCCGTCCTGGCCACCGTCCTGACCTATGGCATTGCCGGCGTGCCCGTGGCGCTGCAGCAAATCGAACAGATGCGCCATGACGGATGGACGCACCGCACTGTCTTCTCCGTCTCCGGCGATTCGGTGGAGGGAGCGTCGCAGGGTGTGTTGTTGGCGACGGTTGAGCGGCGAATGACCGGAAGCACGACGGTGTGGACGGAGGCAGCGTGCATTTTTATGGCGGTTCAGGCCCTTGGCCACGGCCTGTTGCTGTACAAGCGCATCCGGGAGGAGCAGACGGCCCAGGAGCTGCTCGTGGAGGATGTGTCCGAGGGGAGGAAGACCCTGTTCGAGAAGCTGCGGTCCATGGTGTAGGCGAGAGGAGGGTGATTCGGTCTGGGGTGGAAGTGCAGCATGGATTGCACCATTGCGTTGCCGACAAAGACGTTGCCCATTTGCCTCGGGCCAAGGGTGGACGCTGGGCGGGGTGTCCTTTGTCTGACGGGGATGTATGCTGTGAGAATTCATTGGGCGGCCGCCTGTGGTCGCGTCAACGAGCGGGGCAGCGATGCGATTGCGTCGCGTGCCAATGAACCGACTGCGGGCCGGCGCTCTGGGCAGGGCGAGGGGAACGGTGTGGGTAGCACAGGGGATTGGGGCGGCCGACGATGGCTGAAAGTCTCCCGTAGAGTTCACACAAAACAAGGCAATATTAAACTTCGGCGAACGCGCATTTTTTAGAAGCTACTTCTGTGCATTCATTTCATCTGCGGGGTCTTTGGGTCTCCTACTGTAGGCTCAACATGGGTTTGACGTTTGGGGATGTGGCTGCATGCGTGTGGCCCCTGATACCAAGGATAAAGTACGTGTGGGTGCTCTCCAACGAGAGGATCACTGCGCATCACCATTTTGTCTGCTGGTGCTGTGCATCGTATGTCTTCACCAATCACGGGGACGGTTTCAAGTTTTTGGGCGGATTGTGTGGTCATGAGATTTGCTGAACCTTGTGTTAGGTCAGCAGGAGCTCGAGGGTGTGGAGAAGGCCCCTTGGGTGTAGTCTCGCGAACGTGTCGTGGCTGTGGTGTGATGTTTGTGTTGGCAAGCATGATTGAATTGTAACATATGGCGTGTGCGGCACAAGCGCCACAGCTTGCATCTGGTAAGGGCTTCATTTCATGTGCACACGCCACAAGACTTCTTGTGCCGGACCTTGAATGGCGTGCGCCGAATCCGGCAAAAAGGACTCGTTGCCAATGTTCTTTTCGTGCCTATGCAGGTCGCTGGGTGAAACGGCCTAAAGCACATGTGCGATCACACGATCTGGGGTGATGGTGACTCATGCTGCTTTACTGGTAGACGATTTCCTGTGAGCAGGAGACAGAATTGTTGTGGGCATAGGCAATGCTGGGCAAATTTTGCCGATGGAGTGAACACTTACTCCCCAGGCGTCACAGATGCGCATGATTCCAATCTCGCTGCTAAAACTTGCACTCCAACAGGCAACAAACGTACATGTGGCCCAGCCAACGACGAACGGAAGACGTTATTACGATGGTAATAAGCCTAGCACTCAATGGATGCAAAGCTGCAACAACTTTCGGGGTGGCAGTGTTCACGGATGCTATTGCAAGCACACATGCCGTTCTTGTGCGCCATGATTGCGGCAGGGCGATGTAACGGAAGGCCGCTTAGCGTTTCAATTTGACGAGGGGCGGGTGGTGTGGCGGGGACGCGGACCTGTGAACGCTATGAGATTGTGTAATTGCCAGGACATCGGCGTCAGGTGGGAAGATGTTCAAAAGCGCCATTGATGAGCGGCAAACAACTCCTGACTTGTTCCTAAGCCTCCCCAAATTGTTCAATCTTGAATGAACGGGCCAGAATACCGCAATAGGCAGCCATCAGGCGGCCACAATTACCCGCAATGGCCTTTGTCATCCCGTTTTTCAGCCCAGTATAATCTGTGCAATTCTGGCTGTCTATGTTCCTTAAACCCACGTTCAAATTGTCCAACTCCGTTATGTGATGTTGCTGAGTCATCCTGGCACCGACATAACGATGGGGATAATATTGGGAGTGCGCAGGACACTTGTGTGACGCCACAACGAGCAGACGTCTACACCAGTAAACGCTGACAATGGCGGGGCGCAGCCAAATATGGCGCGACTCCATGGACCCTACAACAAAACCAGAGTGGTCTCATTGCTCTTGCTCAATGCCTGAACGCACTAAGGCGCATGTTGCCCAACCCTGTGCCAACGCCCACACATCAGGGTGCAGAATTCCGTCAACTGGTACCCTGGCCCTGACCTGCCTCTCTCATAATCCTTCCAGCCACAAATCAAATGGACTGCTGCAGGGTTCCAGCCATCCCAATGCCACTGCCGCCGTGCTCTCGTGCACGGTCAGCTTGCAAAAATGCAAGCCGGTACAGCGTGGCAACAGCTGAGCCGTGCCATTTTTCAGCTTTACAGCAGCCAGGTTCGCTGTCGGCCGCCAGGCCTGACCCCGAAAGCAATATCGACGACTATAAGCGATTGGCTGCTGCTCCTCTACCCACCCCTTGATGCGTCCGAACTCGCCGTCCCCCCCACACAAACGTCCCAGCCCCCACATTCCCACGTGCCAATGCCACTGCACATCCAGTTCATTTCGAATTACCTGTTCGTTGGGTTCAGTATACAAAATGGAAATTCAACAAGCCGATTCCAGCCTTTGCCATGACTCCCAAGGCCAACAGCCACTGCTCTTAAGCCACTTGCCATGCCCCCAGCCAAGGACCCCTTCCAACCCAACCTCTTCATGGGAAGAAATCAAAGGCATCCGTTCCGTATGAGCAACACTCGCACCCAATCACACTCACAACCCATTCCACCAATCTTCATCGCCTTGGAGATGTTGGATCTTTGCTTTGTATTCACCCACGATCGCTGAACGACCAATGTTCAAGTTGCCGAGAGACCTACCAAATTGTGCAAAAAAAACTTTCCTCTTATGGCCAGGCTGTCTTGAAATGCTGGTTTGTAGCTGCTCCCCCACCCTTAACCACACCTCTACACTGCAGCAGGCCACCAGTTATCTGCGGCCCCAAACTCACACCACTGTGGGTGCAGCCTTCAGTCAGTCAAGAAGAAAAACAACAATGACAAAAAAGCCAGCCACACGCCAATTGCCCCAATGCTGCATGTCTTCCCTGCAGCAGGTGCTGCTTCAACAATGTTGCCTTGAGGTCCAGCTGTTCAAGCCACAGGGACAACGGGCGCCTAGATTTTGAGTGAAAACAGAGCTTGGAATTACAAGACACCGCTGCAAGTAAGAAACAGATAACCCTTCACTGCTGAGAGACATCTGAACAGCACAATTGGGTCCTACCCTCCACAAATCCAGGCAGCAGCTACCTCAGGGATCGCAGAACAATTTCACCACCAATATGGTCATGTTGTCACACCTGGTCAGAACAGCACAATGGGTGTCAGCAGATGGTGGACGAGGCAAGGTTTTGCACAATATGCAGAAGCCCATAGATCAAGGCTTCAAAGTGAAGTGCACCACAGTGGGAATCATCAGGTTCTTGCTTGGGACAGTCCGCCCAAAGTTCCACCCGGGAAGGAAAGGAGGTGCAGGGTGAGACATGCCATCCAAGCACAAACGTAAGAATGACAAGAGTCTGCATGTTGCAGTGGTGGCCAACGAGGCCAAGCTGGGGCTTCATATATTGGGGGCAGGCATGCAATCTGGGATAACAAAACAGCATTGTTCAGTAGTGACAGGCTCTTTTCTGACACACAGAGGTGCAGTTCGAGTCGACAGTCACTCCCCCTTTCGTTTCACTTTCCCATTCGTTTGGTCCTCCTTCCCTTGCAGTTCAATTGCTTATGCTGAAAAGAATTCAAGGGGATGGCCCCAACACACCCGACGCCCTTCGTTGCCTTGGGGTCCCCCGCCAGGCAGCTGTCCACGATCTCGCCGCAGATCTCATCCAGAGCGCCGCCCTCGTCCAGCCGCCGCCCCACAAAGTCCACCACCTCCTGACTGCTCATCACCTCCCAAACGCCGTCGCACGCCAGCACAAAGAAGCGGTCGTCATCCGTCAGTGCTAACCGCCGAACTTCCGGCTCGGCGGTGATGATCTGCTCCTTCGCCGACAGCCTGCCGTTGGACTTGTACCTCAAATCGCCGATGGCGCGCGACACGCCGAGATTGCCGTTCACGGCCTCGCGAGTGCCCATCGCCGACACGTACCCGCCCGCGGCCTCAATTCGCTCCCTCTCGTCCTTCAAGCTCGGCTTGTGGTCCTGCGTCATCGCCACCGCTGCACTTCCCCGACAGAGCACCCCCCGCGAGTCCCCCGCGTTGGCCACGAACAAGTCGGACCCGCGCTTGACGGCCACGACGGCCGCGGCCCCCGCGCCCGTGCCACCCTCGTATCCCTGCTCGCGGCAATCCTCCACCGCCCTCGCGCGGCAGCCCGCCGCGTCCTGCATCATCGCGTTCTCGTCCGCGACGGCCCGTGACGGCATCAGCTTCCGCACCACGTTCAGCTGCCAGAACGCCGCGTCAGAAGGCGCGGACTGCGTCACCCTGTGGCCCCTCCCTCGGCGGCCGCCCTCCCCCTCCCATCCAGCCGTCGCCTCCCCCGCCCCAGTCGCGCAATCGCCACCGACGTCCCGATCGGCGGCATCCGCGCCCGGCTGCCCACTGTTCCGCAGCGACGCCAGCTCGCCGTGGTGCGCGCAGTCGCGCAGCATGTCGTCCATGCGGTGGAACGCCCCCGCCAACGCGCTCTCCAGATCGTCAGGGAAGCCCTCCGTGCCCTCTAGCGTGGCCGCGAAGTGGCGCTGGCAGAATCGGGCCACCTCGCAGCCGCCGTGCCCGTCGAAGACGCCGAACACGGAAACGTCCGGTGCAGACTCGCTGCTCGTCGCCACGTGCGCATCCTCCTGCACAGCCCACGCGACGTCAGTCGCCTGCGCCCGCCCGCCGTCGCGGGCCGCTGCCCCTCGAGTCGTCGGCCGAGCGAAGGCCTCGCTCAGTCACCGCCAGAACTCACCATCCGCTTGCGCCACCCCTGCATGGCGCACCCCGCGTAGCAGGCACCCGCGCCAGCGCCTTGGAACACATCCTTGTCCGTGATCGGCTGCGAAAGGTATGCACCCATGGCGCTCTCCCAAAGCCGCGGCGATCACCCCTCGACCAACAGAGTCCTCTGACTTCCGCGACCCCGCTCTTTGGGCGGCGCCCGCCAGAGAATGCCGCCCACGCCTCAAGTCGTCCACCTTTGGCGGCCGACGTTCTCTGTCGGTCCCGCGCAGTGCTCGGTGAGGCACGCGGGTGGCCGCGGCCTCCTGCCACCTGTCAAAGCGCTCAGCAGACACTCCTTGCGTCGTCGCGACAGGCGCCTGCAGCCGCTGTGTGGCCTGTTCAAGCCGCGCAGGGCCCAAGTCGGCCTCCTCGAGTTTCGAGGTCGGCTCCCTAGGCCGCTGCGCCGTTCGATGGCGACAGCCCTGCAGGAGAGCGCCACGCGACCCAGGCGGCGCACGGTGCAGTTGCCGTTGGAGGCCGCTTCACACCCATGAGGCATATGACTCAGGCAGCGCAAACCTAACACTGTCATGGTGATCGGGTAGGAAGGACTGGGCGTCCCCCGTCGCGGCTGACGGACGAAATCAAAACGAAAGGAAAGTGAAGGGAACAAAGGGAAAAATGAAGGGAATGCTTAAGCGTGGAAAGGGCAAAACCCGTGGAACTGCAAAATTCCAACGCGTGAAGCTGAATGGGCGAAAACTGCGCAGCGCCGCTGATGATGACTGTGGCCATTTGAAAGCAAGAGGAAAACTCTCCCCAATGCCAGCTCCGTCAAACAAGGACTTGGACCAGCCCATCGTTTTGCCGTCAAACAAACTGGCCCTTAGCTCCACAGGCGCCGGGAAGAGTGGGGCAATCAGATAAATGTATGCCTGGTAGCTACCAACTTGCACAGGAGAGCCTCAGAATCCATATGGGGACACTTTGCTCTGGGGGCCAATAGTGTATTCCTGGCTGCGTCACATGCGCGTTGCCCAAAGCATGTCGTGGTCATAATCAGTGGTATTTAAGGCCCATGTGTTTTCTTACATTATGGACAGAATGCCATGTTAGTTCAGGCACGCGTGGCGCAATGGATAGCGCACCAGACTTCGGATCTGGGGGTTGCAGGTTCGAGTCCTGTCGCGTGCGCTTTTTAATTGCCCACTTTTTTCACCAGTACTCGTTTCACTGCAGTCAGTGCATCACAACGATAGAAAAATAGGACAGTAGTGGGATAGTTGGAGATTCCTGGTACGAACAGCCCATTGATCCACCACCATCATGTCAGCTTCCTGCAAAACAATAAGCTGAGCCCCGCACACGGCACATTGGTAAAACAGCAATATGGATCAAACCATTATTCACGCACACATGTAGCGTGGACCTAAGATGTGTGTCGAAGTCTTGCACTTCACTTCAGCTGTTCTGGCAACGAGTGCGGACCAAGGATCAATTTTTCTTCCGGGGATGGGGACGGTATCCGCTGGATCATCCTTCGCCACCCCAACCTCATTCCCCCTCCCACAAGAGGGAATGTCCGCCACAGGCCTGATAAAGCCCGGCTTCCTCTTCAGCACCACCAGGCACGCAGGAAGTGCCATCCGCGGCGAAATAGAACCCGCCGTCAGCAGTGGACACAAGGCCCACACAATCCCAAACGAATGTCTGCAGTGCAGGCAGCACACAACGTTGCCAGCCCTTTGGCCGTTCTCTCGCACCTCAGATCAAACACCCAGCTACCCCGGTCTCCAGCCGGGCCCGGGCTCCACAAAGCCCGCTGAAACCTGCTGACAGTTCAGGGGATGGCGACGGAGGTTGTGGACGGACTTGGAGATGTCATCAACAAATTTGTGCATATCGCAAGACATGACGTGCGTGGCCGGAGACTCACAACCGCAGGCGGAAGAGAGAACCAACCGTAGGCTCCCACTTCCGAAGGAGTTCGCGGACACGTTTGGAGTCTTACTAGGATGGGATGCCGGCACAACCCTTTCTGGTGCCGACAATCCCCGCAATCTGACCGCCAACAACGGAAACAACAATATTCGTCAACACCCTCATCGAATTCCCCGGACCACCCCGAATCAACGGCAAAAGGCCGGCGCCCCGTCGGCTCTCGACGATCGCAGTCAAGGCATCAGCGCAGCCCGCCTTCTCCCCGCGCGTCCCATCACCGCGCCCTCCCACCCCGACCGGGGCCCCTGGCCCGCGCAACATCCGTCCCATCGGGCCTCCCCTCCCCCCGCATCCTGGGCACCACGTAAACCGCCACACCGAGCGCCACAACCCCGGCCACGCCCGCCAGCAGCAGCCGCTGCATCCACAGCCGGCGGATCTTGGCCGCCTTGCGCGCCGGCGTCTCAGGGATGTCCTTGGGGCCCGGCCGCACGGCCGTCTCTACCAGCGTGCGAAACAGGGATCCGAACTCGCCGTTCTGCGCGGAGATGGGCAGCGGCTCGCGCATCTTGAGCTCCGCGCAGCAGGCGGCGCAGTCGGACTTGAGGTCCGGCGCCATGGGCTGGTCCAGCTTGGAGGCCACGAAGAGGCAGGGGAGGTAGTCGCCCGCTGTGGTGGACACCTGCAAGCGGTGGAGCGACAACAAGAGAATTGACAAACCAGCCGTGATCACAAGCATAACTTCGGTAATCCTTGACTTGAAAATAGACAAAAGGATAGAATGAAAAATAAAAAACACAACTGGAAAACAGATTATGCATCATAGGATGAATGACGAGTGGAATCCGAATACTGGTGTCACTTGGTACATCTCTGTTGCTATCAAAGTGCGTGCAAAGTTCTGTGCATATTCTTTATCTCCATCCAGCTTGGAAGCAAAATGGTGGCAGCACGCCCACTTGACTGAATGACGGTACTAACAGCAGCGGAGCACCAACAGAGCTTCTGGCAGTGTACTGCACACTGAGCTGCCGATGGATTGGCTTTTGCAACAAGCAATTCCATGACCAAGTAAATCGTATCACAATCAACTGAACACTGTTGCTTTCTTAACATGTGGAATCCTTTTTGCGATATAGATCCATTCATTGCGACTGAGGGTAGTATTATAGGGGAGTTTGGAGCTTTTTGGAGTTCTTTTACCATGAATTGGTAACCCAGCCCCAGAGGTTGCAATAAACCGCACCCTCAGCATGCCATTCAACGTCACACCAAAAAACGTTGTTCTATGATTTTCTAGGATCGGCAACACCAACCAAAATCACAGGTGCAGTACAGTTTGCCCCACCTGCAGCATCAAGCTCTGAGCCTCTGCAAACGACTTTGCGTCATTCCCATCAAAGACAAACGCTGCAACATCGACAGCCTCCAAAGGTCCGCCCTCCCCATCCTGCTTCAACAGTGCTGAGGCCGCCTCGGGGCCCACCTCCTTAAGTACCAGGGTCCGTTCACCGAACTGAGGGGAGGTCACGGAGGCCACAGCCACGTAGTTGTGGCCAGCCTCAAGGCCCTGGGCAGTGGGAGCACTGCTGCCCACCAGGCCTCGCAGCAGGGATGTCTTGCCGCACCCCTTCGACCCAAACACCAGGCACTGCAGGACGGACCTAAATAGGATGCAGTGGACAATAAGCCTCATCTCAGCAGTCTTAAAGCAATATCAGCACATGTTCAAAGATCCAAACGCGAGGCACTGCAGCACACACCTAAACAGGACACAGGAGACAATTAGACACCAATTTACAGCCCTAACACGAGGCCACCACGTCTGTAGAGCACACAGCAGGGAAGGGTACACAGCAGGGGGGTCTTGCTGCTGCCTTTGGCCCCATATTTGAGGCACTGCAGAGGGGACGTCAAGGCAGCTGATGTCAAGTCGCTCTTACTCCTTGCCTCCTACTCTTGCAGGAATGGTGCCAAAGGAATGGATGCTTTGGCAGCCAATACGTCTCAAACCCAAACTCGATACACATGAGAGAAGACCACATTCATAGTGGCCAGCCCGCACACAGTTAACAGAAAACCGTAAAGACCAACAGTACAGAATTCCTGAAAACGCTGCAGCAACATTAAAGCAAGACACAAAAGTGCTCTGCAATTTGGTGCTGCCTGCACTGCAAAAGTTTCCACATGCTCCAGTAGCGCAACTGAGAGACTGCCAGCAACCACACCTGGACAGTTGCTCCCTCCTCTCCAACTTCCGCCGCTTGGTGGTTGTGCACAGGTCCACTACCTCCTGGCTATCGCATCCCAGGTATAGCAGCTGCTTCAGCGTCTCCTTGGGGTGGATGAGCATGGAGTAGCGCCAGTTGGAGAGGAACCCCTCCAGGGTTACGCGCCCAGCGTGTGGGTTGGCAACAAGCACGCTGTCCCACTCAGGCCCTGGCTCACAGACACCTCGACATCATGTGCTGTCATGCCATGCCATCTTTTACCATGTCTTGTCATGCTGAGCAATTGCACGCTGGGCTATCACACAATCCAAGGTAATGTCCTGAAATGTCACATCATGGCAGCATGGCTGCAGTACAGCGTTCAAATCCTCTTCAACTACAGTTGATCCAATATGGCAAGCAGTGTGCCCGCTTGCTTACATTGGGAGCGCCTACAATCTAGAAGTATGCACATTCTGTTGTGTGTTGCTGCCTTTGTGTTCCTCATCATGCATCATGCCCCTAGTATGTGAAGGGAAATTTAGTTCCGATCACAGCTTAGCATGATAGCATACATGGGACTCCAATCCAGAAGGGGACGCCAAAACATGACTGCTGTTTGTGTGTGTGTGTGTGTGTGTGTATCTGACAATTCTGCACAGTTTTAGCACAACTTTCAGCACCCTCACACACACGCACACACCTGACCAAATGTGCTCTGGAGTTGTCTCCTCCATCTCGCTGACGATCTTGGCCTCCTTGACACCTCCCGTCTTTCCAGAGTCCAGTTTATTGAACCAATCGGTCAGGAACACTATTGCTCTGTCGGTGAGCTCCATTGTCTGAATCAGAAATCCAAGCAACACAACATGGTCACATGTGCCAGCACAAGAGTGTGCATTCAATATTGTGGGGCGCTACAGGCACACACTGCTTGAAAAACAAACTCAAAAACAAAATAAGTGACGCTCTCAGGTGCAAACACAGTTGTCTGAGCACCACAGCAGGAAAATAGGCATTCCATTGAGCTGCAAATGCTGGAAGATCATACAAGAACCAAGAAACCAAGGAACTGGGGATATGGCGCTCTGTTTCTATAGCGACAACTAGGCAAAGCTCAATGAGCGTCACAGCATGCATTCTTGCTTTTAATATGTTTTTGGGACAAAGAATGAATTGGCCCAAACTGCTACACTAAGGTATGCTGGAATACAGGCAGCACAATGCCAGTCTCAACGGCAGGATATGCATTGGCCAATGGCATGACAGGGAAAGCACTCTCAATCTCTCCTTTCCATCTGCTCCTCAGCCTTGTTGATATTCTTGCACAGCAAGAGTCTCCCTCTGCTAGCCTTGTTGAGCAAGGGCTCTTGCCCACTGTATGACATCTCTCTTTCTCATCAGACACACAGTCCTTGCTCTCTGGTTGCCTTCCTGTATACCTCACCTGGTCAGGGCTAATGTCGAAGGAGACTTCCTGGATCAGCTCATCTGATAACGTAAGCTCGTTGGTGTAGCCAAATCTCCGCAAAACCTGCCATGACGTCTCGAACCGTCCTCGTTCCATGAACAGGGCATTGAGGAACATGAAACCAGGCAGTGTTAGGCCATTGTCCTTCACTCCGTGCGGGATCTTCTCCCCAACTGTCTCCAACACGCTCACCAGCTCATCTGGTTGGAGCGGCGTGTTGAAGCAGGCGATCTGCGACACAGGACGTGAAGCACACCCCTTCAAGCGACAGTCAGCATCAAGACAAGTGCTGAGAAATGGCAACTCACTGCCCTAGTTCCCAACTTGCCGTGTTAGGCACTCTTTCACTCGCACAAGTGAATCCAAGGGCGCATTTGTCAGACAACGTGACAAAGCATAATCCTTACAACTGCCACAAGTGCTGCCAATGGCACTGTTCACAGAAAAACGACATGTTCCACCGAAATTGTCCCTGCTACCTTTCACAAGCATGTGTGACACACATTGTGTGTTGAAGAATGTCATCAGCACTGCCATACAGGCTTCTTGCTCATGATTCACTGCCAACCAAGATCCCCTCCAGCAAACATGATGTACGGCAGACACGCTGTGTAGGCAAGGACCTCAAATACACAGAACCTAAAGATCCCACATGTATAATGACATCGTCTAAGAGGACAACAATGGCGACACATCGCACAGCACAATGCAGCCACAGACTTTTGCCAATCATGTTTTCAGTAGGCTGGGACTAATCATGACTCATGATTACACCCAGCCTGCTCAAATCATGGTTTGTGAGCAGCGTTCGCAGCAGCTTGGCACCTGATGGAAGTGCGACCTGCTGCAACACTGGCATTGTTAGCCTTGCCCAGATGATACACATGCTTGGCTTGGCATTTCCATGATGATCGGTAGCGAATAGTGCTTGTGTTCCAGTATTAGAGCACTAGTTTAAAACACAGTGGTGCATAAATGCAGCTTCACACAACATTATTAACAGCAGAAACCACTGATGCAGAAGTGCTTTCTGCATGTTGGTCAGTTTCCAGATAGATGCACCATTTTTGTAATTCGATGCTGCGCAAATGCATTAGTAATCGCCCTGAGCATAATGGTGCATACCAATAGAAACTCCACCCACCCAACAGTGTTTGAGAGTTGCGCCTCTCTATCCCATTTTTGATACCCTAGTCAATGAGTAAATCGTTGCTGCAAGCAACCAAGCAGAAGAGCAATATTAACAACATTCAGGAAAGGCTGACAAACCAATGCAATATGCCAGTCAGGCACATCAGCCACCATTCCCATCCACAAATGTCTATTGTTGAGGACATTTTGTAAGTGTCCCCAAACAATCCAGATGGTGCAGAAATCATAAATCACTCCACCAACCTGGAAGGCGTTGATTTCCCTCTCACTCAGCCTATTGTCCCTGTCGTGGTCACACAGCAGGAAGACACGCCGCAGGGCCTGTGCACAACGTGGCTTCAATTTCTGGTTCATAGTGTCGTACAATGGCAGCTGTGGGTGAATCACCGCTTTGAGCACGAAATGGAAGACCTCTTGGACAAAGCTGAGAGTGCGAGCAGAGCACTCGATCGCTGTCTCTATCTCACGGAACTCCTTCAGCAGCTCCTCCAGCTGTAACCGCTGTATCTCAAAGGAGTACTCGTCGGGCGCATTGTCCATTCTGGTGGGCAGAACACATTATGGCATAACTTTAAGCAGTGTATGTGGCATGTGATGCAGGTACAGTGTGGGCCAATGCCCTGGGTTCATTGCTTGCCACAGTGCAGATTTTTTCTGCATAGAGCATAGTGACAACAATGAAAATATAACATGGGCATCATGTTGCTGTTGCTGACCACCTATCCCCACTTAATCCCCACTCATATTAGGTATGTGCTCCAAAAAAATTCATTGTGTGCATCTGCCCGAACATCAAGATACTGCCCTTGCAACTACAAGGCTATGGCAGGGAGTTTCTCCGGCCACAACTGCTTCTTCACACCACTTTCGTGAGTGATCAGCAATCTGGCTTGCACTTGGTATAGGTCACTGGTGGTTGCCCACTACCCTGTGCCCTGTTGCCCCAGGTCAGCTTGATTTGATACATCGCACTGCCAACATACAGCATTTGTGGCAGTCCCATCCGATGCGGTCAGGATTAACATGTCAGCCACATGCCACCTGCATATGTGACACCAAGGTAGAAAGCAGTTTCTGTGCCTGAGGACCAATTTCAGTAAAATTTGTTCTGTGAAGGCAATTCACCACAATCATCTCCCAATAACTTACCCACTTTACTCCTTCCAACATTTTCTTTAGTACTAGGTTCAAAACACTGGCTCTGTATGGGCATTGGCTTTGAGGCTAGGGAGATTTCCTAGTGAGCAATAGTGACATCATGCGATTTCGCCTCCAATCCCCTGTGGCAGCGTTTGCAACAACTCACTTGCACCCGCACAACACGATTGGCCGGCCGGTCTCCAACTTGCGTAGCTCTGGAAGCCAGTAGTCCTTCAGCCGCTGGATTGAAGACATCATGTCCACAGCGTAGCACAGTAACACCACATCCACATCCTTCACAACCTGTTGGGATGGCAACCAAACTGCCCGTTGGAATTTACCAACGACATCTATGGGCAAAAATCACTGCAGAATGCTGACATTGGGCACTCAATGCACTGGCTAATGGCGTATAAATCGCATCTGGTTTCAGGCCACCACAACAGCGCATTGATGTCCTAATGGAATATGCTGCTCCCTATGGCTCATTCGTCTTGTGTTTGTAGGTGCACACACCATCGTCGATGTGGGAAATTTTGAAATGTTTCAGTTCAGGAGGCGATGCCCACTAGACTGCCTGCTTCTGCCAACTTCAGAAATCTCCGCAGGGGTTTGTGCCACAGCACCCCAACGATTGCGGTCTGTGCACGAGAACCTTGACCATCTCTCTTCACCCGCTCACCTCCCGCAGCGACGCGCTGTTCTCACTGCGGCTGGAGGTGTCCGTCACCAGCAGGGGCACGTTCTCCATCTGCGGCGGCAGGCGCGTGGGCGGCAGGCAGGGCGGCGGGTTTGGGTCGAAGGACTCGGTCGCGGCGGCGATCAGGGAGCTCTTGCCCACACCCGGGTCGCCCAGCACCACCACCTTGGCGGTGTCGTACAGCAGCTTCTCCCGGTCCAGGGGCCCGGTCCCTGCGGGCCGATTCGAGCGCCCACAGGCGGTCAGACGCGACAGTCATAAATCGCGCACACCGTGGTTTCACACGGCAGAGGTGAGGCAAGTGGGCATTCGCGCCGCCGCAGCGATGGAAATCCGTTCCTTTTCGCCAGCCGCACAGCGCGCGGGCCTCTCCCTTACCCCAGGGACACGATGACCGTGGGGTTGGCCAAAAATGGGGTCAATCCCAAGTCCTGGCGGGCATGGGCCCAACTGCGCCCGTCAATGCCCCACCGGATCGCGCACGGGCGACCTGGGGCCAACAGCGCCGCAGCCCACCCTGGATCGACATCCCATGCCCATCCCACGCCTGCATCCCATCCGGGAAGCGACCACGGGGTCAGCTCCGGGAGACGCACGGCGGACGGGATTCGCACTGCGCCATCCGTCGGCGCGAATTGCGCAGCAGCCGCGCGGCACACGGCCATGTCCGTGGCAACGCCCCTCGCCGTGGTCCCGCCGGAGCAGGGGAGGGGTCAACTGCCGGTGCTGACCAGCACGCGGCGCCTGCGGGTCCTGGGGCTGGTGCTCCGGGCAGCCCCGTTACCTTTCGCGTCCGCCATGTCGGGCGGGGCCCGCAGCCGGTCCCGCCCACGACCACCTCAGCGCGCGGCCAGCACCACCGCGCGCGCGGCCAGCAAAAGTCGCCTCCGCGCAACGCCAGGCGCCCAGTTCAGTGTGCTCCTTCCCCCAAGCCAGCAAGGGTCCCACAGTCGTCGGGAGCCAGCACCACAGCCCCCTCTCCAACCCGCTAGTACTTTGCGCGCTGTGTGCGCCCATTGAAGTTCCGGCCGACCCACTGAGTAAAAAACCGTGCAAGCGAAAAAACTGATGGGGGCACGCAGACGCCAAGTGTCACTACGCCTTGGCCCAGGGCGCAATTTGCCCTGACGCGGGGAGAAGCGCCGGCCAGCGCCTCCTGTGCGCGGCTGCGGCAGTGGGTGCCGCCGTCGAGACTGCCATATCGGGCGCTGGGCGCTGTGGCCGCTCGCGCCGCTCATCAGTGCACGGGGTGCCTTCCGGTGGACGTCCGAAGGCTTGGAGATCTAAACGCCGGCCTTGGGGTTGGCGGGTTGACGCTTAACCTGCCGCGCATCGGCGACGCGGCCCGAAGGCAGAGGGGTAGATCGGAGCGCAGTGGGTGCCTGTGAGCGACGCCATCTGTGAAAGCGGGCTGACGGGCTTTGGACGATGACTGCCTGGTGAGTTGCTTGCTTCCGCGCTGACCGCCAGCGCCCTGCTCCCCGGCCCGGGCGCGCGAATGATGACACTGCCCTGTCGGGGCCGCGGAATTGTCACTTTGTTGCTTATCCTGGACCGTCCCGGCCGTGCGGCGTGGATTGCTTGCTGGTGACGTGGGCGGGCAGGATTTGGTGAAGGGGTAATTGCCTCAGGCCTGCGTGTGCTGTGCTGGCGGCCAGGTCCGGCCTCGTCTTCCAGCAGAACCTCCTGAAGGTTCTCCACAACCTGAGGAAGCTGATTCGGCAGTACAATGCGAGGACGGGTGCGTCGGCCGCTGACGGTGCCGGGGGGGCAAGATGTCCACTTTGGCTCCAACCCAGCCCAATTTTGGCGGCCCCGTTGGTTGGCCAGGAATCGCAGGGCCCCGATCGCTCTCGCCTTTCCTCTTGACTTTGATGTTTTGGGCCGCCTGCGCGGCACGCGGAAGGTCAAGGAATGCTGGCATTTTCCTTCTGACGTGGGTGGGACTGTTCCAGGTGGAGGGAAGGGGTCAGCGGAGGTTGCTGGGAAAGGGATGGGGACGAAAGTTGGTGGCGAATTGCTTTTGGATCGGCAAGCGCCGTGCCCAGCGTAGTGGGAGAATTATTCGCATGAAGCTGGTTACATCGTGGTTGCTGCTCTGTGGGATTGGTGTAGGTGTTGGAGCGGGGAACGACTCTGGGAAGGGGGACGCGCGACCGGGCGTGATGCACTGTCGCTGTGAACGGGATGTTTGCAGGAACCTGACTGACTCCCTGTTGTTTACCGTTGGCTGTAGGTCCCGATGCAGTGCCGAACTACAGCTTCCTGACTGGCCGCGCAGCGGCCGTCGGTGGCCTGTCGCCTCTGCCAGGTGGGGAGTACGGAAGGATTTGTGGTGTGGGTGCTCTGCCAAGCTGCATTTTGCTGTGTATGAATGCCAAATGGGCATAAGTTTGTCGAAGGAGAGTTTGGCAGATGGCCTTCGTCTGTTCCGTTGGCCGTCTATCACTGGCTGACTGTCTTCATGTGGGAAGCATGTGAGCGCTCGCTTTTTTGTGCCAACAAGCGTGCCTAGTGCTGTTGAAGAGGCAAGAAAGCAGTTCGTCCCTTGAACCCTTACCCCTGAGTTCATGTTCTCTTGCCGATCATGCTACACATTGCTGTGCTCCTTCTGCTGTGCTGGAGAGGATTCTCCTTTACCGTATGGAAAGGAGCTGCACACACGTATGCCTGCAAGGATAGTTTAAGGAATGGGCAGGGCATATATTACCTGCCTTGTTTCCCTGTCATAAAGATAGCCATTGGCACACTGGCCTCTGGCACATCCCCATCCCAAACAAGTTCTTGGGGCTGTTTTCAAACTCGACGTTATGCAGAAATCTCTGGGTGGTGAGAAACTTGCAATGGTGTTTACCATGGGTGCCTGGTGGCCAGCAAAGTCAGTTCTGATCATTTTTGCTAAAGAGCATGACAGGGCATTCGCCAAGCACCTGCTGGGAGATGTCTGTCCGCTGTTGATGGGATCACTGGTCCATAGCATGTTTCCACTAAAGAGTATCGGAATCTGCATCACAAGTTGACCAAATGTAGCAATATCAGCAGGCCAAATGCAGAAGCCAGAGATAGTGAGCGACTTCTTGACAAATTGGAGTTCCTAGGCTTAGCTAGCACTGTTGTGCATACCTTTGCCCATTTGTGCCTGAGTAGTAGTTGTTGTCCACCTGTTGCAACCCTGGCTTGACAGCTGATGTTTCGTACGTCTGTAGTTCGGTATCATGCTATGGCACAGAGTCCAGTCTTGTGTTGTCTTGAATAGTTGAACTCAAGGATTTAGGATGCAGCACTACTCATTTGCCAGTTTGTGAACAATGCAGGCCAACGAGTTTCTTGCATGCTCTCAAATAAATGGTCTTTAGCTACTGTTCCCTGTCTTCGCTGGTGTAGGTATGGGAAGGCTGGCGCTGGGAACTCTGCACCTTCCTACGCTGCGCTGTGCTGGGAGCCTGCCTCAGGCGTCTCACCTGTGGCCGATCCCCTTTGTCCCCTTTGCAGCCCTCCCCATATGTTGTGCTGTGGCAGCCACAGCAACTTGCGCTGAATGCGAGCCAGGGACAGCATCCTCTCCTCGGTCCCTGAGTGATAGTGACACATCTGCCATGGAAGGCGCCATATGGACCATTCCCATCATGCAGGCACTGGCGGATCTCCGTCTGGCGTATGAGTTACTTGTCGAGGACCCCCTTTGGGCGCTTGCCATGAATGGGGTGGGGGCAGAGCACCAAGATGCAGTCGTTGGCCAGTACATGGACTTGGATGAGGCAATTTACGAATTTGCTACCATGAATGATGACAGAAGCGACATGTATGGGGGCGATGACCAAACTGTCCAGGAGATTGTTGCCTTGGAGGACCCCTTTGCTGTGCTGTTGGAATTTGCTGGTCTTGGACTGGAGGGTGATGTTTAGGGTGTTGGTTCCCTGCTTTTGAGACACTGTGTACATTCCTTTTTGGGTTGGGAGTGGTGGATCATGGGTATTGGGCGTGGTACTGGCATTGCCATTTGTTCCGACTGGTGCCTCCGAGCTGCGCTTCGTGTCAGCTTCCAGGATGCTACCTCGGTGGATGGCAACTCCAGGCCCTTAGAAAAGAAAAGCGAGGTAAAACATGTAGAAGAAGATGGGCGATTGCTCTGGAATTTACAAAAGTCACTGCTGATTGGTCGACCACCTATGTGTTTGGCTCTTCTCTGGGGATACACACGTGATCTCTGTGCTGCAAGATGGAATAGATGAACTTGGGGGTCACCATATGTGAATGAATGGCATGCAACATTTGTGTTTTGAATGTGCATTGCGGCACTATGAGCTGTCCCTGTGTTGGCCTTCTGTAGGACAGCACGCAGGTCCTTGAGGGCCACTCGTTCTCCATTGCGAAAACTTATCATCAGATGTGCAGGTGCACTGAGGCAGGACGACCATGGCACCACCAGGCAGAGGCCTGCATTGCACCATTTCTCTCCCCTCTCCCAGCACATTGCGTTGATAATCACTCTGTACAGATTTTGCCAGCATTGTGGACTGAAAGAGAATCCCCTATTGTCGTCTTCAACGAAACGTGGCTCCCAAGGGCCCTGCAATTTCGTTGTCGCCATTCCCAACTCGTCAGAGGTGCCCCACTGGTTTCTAACCTGGTGCTGTCACCAGGCTCCGGTTTCTGGATAGCTTCCAATTCACATAAACTGGTGGACCGAACTCTACAAAGTAACAAGAACCGCGCTTGCCTCACCCAGCAGGGCGAATGTTGAAAGACATCCGCCTTGCGCTCACCGCGCTGCTTGCCCCCATGTGGGGGGCTGGATGAAAGAGCAGGTCAGCAACACACACCAACGTTACGTACCCGCCCGCTGTGGGACATGCTTTCTTTCTGTTGAATCGTTTGCGCGTCAGTTATTCGGGTTAAAATCAAGGGCCAAAGGATTTCAGCCCAAAACATGAAAACAACGCCTATGTACGGACAAGGCCACGACAGCGATCATCAGGGGGCCAGTTTCTCTCCAGCTTCTGGCCACCAACCAAAGACGCGGACGCGGGAATCCGCATGGCCACGAACGGCGTACAAAAGCCGAGCGGAGAAGGTTGTCGAAGTTTCGACGCGCGGCCAGCGCCTTGCCGCTGGGCCCTGGCCCACGTCCTCGCCAGCCCACCGCCGGCCTGCCCCACGGCACCCCAACCGACCTTGTCCGGTGGCGAGATCTGATCAAAGGGGCCACGGATCCGGCATGGCCAAATTCGGCGAGGGCGACCCGCGGTGGATCGTGGAGCACCGCGACGACGGTCGCAACATCAATAACTGGCACTGGACGGAGACGGACTGCATGGGATGGGCGAAGGCGCGGCTTGGCGAACTGTGCTCGGGGCTGGTGCTGCTGGACGCCACGGAAGGCGGGACGGGTGCCACCACCACCGAGGTGAGCAGCGTTGAATCTTCCCTCTACCCCTTCTGCCTTTGCAGGGCAGGACGGCGTTCTTGGAGGCCAGGGCGCGGGACATTTGTGCCCTCAGAACACCTGCGTGTGACCTTGCTCACAGCACCAGCATTCGTTCGTTGAAAATTCGTGTTCTGAGTCCGCACTCCACCCGCTTGAAGGTGAAGAGCGTGAAGGGTGAGGCGTTCGTGAACCAGCGGAAGGGCAAGATGATCGTGAGCTACGAGCTGGAGATGCGGATCGGGTGGGCGGGGGAGGTGAGGGACGCCGAGGGGGGTGTGGCGGCCAAGGGGAAGGGTACGGTGCACCTGCCGTACCTTGGAGTGGAGAACGAAGACGAGACGCCGGAGGTGCGGGTGGAAGTGGAGGTGGACGACAAGGTGGGCGCGGCGCTGAAGGAAGCGATCAGGACCAAGGGAAAGAAGGTGAGGGGTGAGCGCCAGCGGGCGGTTCCTGGGCGCAGATTGCCTTGGTAAAATAGGGAATACGAATGCGATGGGCGCACATGCAACGGGCGCCCCCATCCCGAGCACTGGACTGAACCACCGTTTTTCGCATTCCGCGCATATGTCAACAATCTTTCAAATAGAACAAGATCCCTCCTGAAGACGACACCATGTGACCGATTATCCATATGGGGGCAACTGATGCTCGAGGCTCAAAAGGGAGCAACAGATGGAGGTGTGCCTGTGTTCGACAAGTATTTTTGAGGATTCATGACCTGCTACACATTGGAGCACCCTCTCACTTAAAACATCTTGGGCTGTCAGTTGTGCATCGGTCAGGATCACTTTGGATTAGGTAAATCCTTGACTGTAACGGCCAAAGAACCAGAGAATGCCCAACAATCCACAAGGCATTGAAATAAACATCTTTTGAGGTAGGGAACACGAGAATCGGCTGAAATTGCAAGATTTCACAACAAGGACTCAGGCATGAGCTTGACCAGAACTAAAGTGGGTTATGCATTGCCAACCATTACCTTAATTGGAACAAGAAGAATGGCAAGAAGCCAACACCATAGGGCCCCAAGGTTAGAAAACATTGCACGCACATGGGAAGGAGAAGCAATGAGTGTTGCAGGGACAAGAGACGTGCTGTAGAATGCAGGCAGAGTGCTGGAGTGACTTTGTTTGGAATACGAAGATGGTATGAAGGCCTCTGAGCACAGTGAGATTTGGAATACGAAGATAGTATGAAAGCCTCTGAGCACAGTGAGATACTGACAACAAGTTAGTTCTCAGGATGGATCCGGGTTGCAATTATTCTGGATTTCACTGTGTGACGTTGTAATGGCAGAGGGTGCGACAATTGTATTGCTGTGGACACAGCAACCAACTCTGCCTATTGAAGAGTGGGATGGTATAAAGATAGCGATGCACGGAAAGTGCAGATCATGTTCCTAGGGTGGGTTAAAGTGAATTGTCTTACTTGAGCGTGTGCTGCAGACTTGCTCCAGTGTTGTGCATGAATGAGTTAAACCTCCTGCCACCACTGTAGGTGCACAACACCTGAACAAACAAACTGAACATGGGTGGGTTGCTGAGCTCATGTCCTGCCAGTGCGGTGCAGAACCTTCTTGATGCTCTGTCAAAGTTTACCAAAGAGCTGAAGGCTGGGGGACCTGTGAAGCCACTGTCAGGTGAAGTGCCACAAGCACAGGGGCCCACCACCGAAGCCCCTGTGGAGGCATCCACAGCAACAGTAGCAGCCGCCTCTGTGGCAGCGCCGGGCAATAACGGATCCATGCAAAAAGTTAAGAAAACCAAGGGAAGATCGAAAGGGAAGCTGCATATGGAGGAGCGATTCTATGGCAGCCCCCGGGACCTGTATGAGTGCTTTACTAACCCCGGCAAAATGCAGGCATTCACTCAGAGTGCGGCCAAGGTGAGATGGTCGTCGCATGGTTCGAAAGTGTTGTGTTGAAGTTGTGAAATTTAGTCATTGTGCGGGCTGCACAGTTGGAAGTCATGATATGCGAATGTAGCTGGAACACATAGTATAGAGGAACTGAAGAGTCGCCTTCTCTGCCTCCATTGCTTTGCCAATAGTTTTGGCAGGACATTGACCAGAACCATTCCACGCAATGCACAACAGATAACTCAGGTGAAAGGTGCCTCTTTTCTTTCTGTATTATTTGTCATTCTTTTGCTGGGTCACGCAGGTGGACGTGAGGCCTGATGGCGAGTTCTCCTGGTTTGGTGGCTCTGTGAGCGGACGGTTCATCGAGCTCGAGCAGGACAAGAAGTTATCCATGAAATGGAGGTTCAACAATTGGGAGGAGGGATGCTTCTCTCAGGTGGGCGCTCTTGTAGTGAGTGGTGTCACGTCTCTAACTTGCAGTCAAGATTCGTTGTGCCAAACAGGCACGGCAAGTCTTATGATGAACGTCGCTCGAGTTTTTTGAGACCTTTGCGACACAATGAGGATTCTATCAGAATATCCAATCGCAACTGGCAGGGTATGAGAGGACGAGCTAAAGCAAGGACGTGCAGATTGTTTTCACACTTGCGTTGCAAGAGAATTGGCATCAGAACATGTCTGGGGACGCCGCTCTGATGTAGCATCGCCATTGAAGAACTTGCATTCCCAACGGAATTAGCCACACCACGGGTATGTCCCCAGTCGCCTTTGTTTGTGTTTGCAAGTCCAGTGGTAAGTCAGGAAACTGAGGTTCCCACCATTCTGGGGTTTGCAGGTCGTGTTGGATTTCGATTCTCCTGCAACGGGGACGACGGTCGTGAAGCTGCAGCAGAGTGGCATCCCCAGCGAGGACAGGTATGGCAACGAGGACGTGATTCGGGTGACGGAGAACGGCTGGCGCACGCAGATCTTCCACAGAATACGGGGGGTCTTTGGGTACGGAATCTAACCAGCTGAAGCGCATGCACCCGTTCCGTGGCTAGCTCCCTCAGCGCGCCCCTCGGCGGAGGGGCCCTGTTTTGCTACTGCAGGCATTGGGCCCCCGCGCTGGGGTGCAGCACACGCAGCCTGGTTGCTGGAGATTGTCAGTCCCCAGGTGTGCGGCAGTAGCACATGGGCATGCATGGTGGGAAGGGCAGTTCGGGGTGCTTGCGCAAAAGGGACGCACGATTGGCAGCGAGACGGCGTCTGATGTGGGAGAAGTGGGGGGCCAACGGGTTGGAGTTGAAATTTAAGAATTGTAGCAATGGAGGTTAATGCCGCTTTCCTGATTTGTCAGGCCGCTTTCTTGAGTCCGTGTTCTCTGATCGCCGATGTCTTGATGACTGATTAGCTTTCCAACATGTGTGGATGTGAGAACCGTTGCACTTGGAAGCGGCTGTATCCCGATTCACGACAGCGGAGGGGAGGTGACGTACACACCGTCTGCTACCTTTGCCAAACTATAACAGAAACAGCACTTCCTCATCTCGATCGTGGCATGAGGTGAAAGGAGTGTCAAAAGCCGCCAGCCTCCAACCACTGCGCTTGACGGGGCGTGTGATTCCCACTCGACGCCGCAAGTCGAATCATGCAGAATTGTCCTGGCACGATTGCCTATGGCCTGACGTGGCAGCATTCCTGCAACGGGGGCCCGCAGCTTGCAGTGGTTTTGCCCCATTGTCTAGAATGGCGCTGCCGCCCAGGTGATGGATGCAAACCTGCACAAACCACCAAGGGAACATCCCCAATTTTGGCATTTGGCTGTTGGCAGACATCGAGCGAACACAGCAAGGCACACCCAAGACATGACGAACTTTACTTCACAAATATGTACAGCACAAGGCAACACTGTTATCATGCCCAGCAAGGGCGCACAAATTCACGGCCAGCAATTTATACACACCCAAACCTGCTGATGTAGCCTCACACCTGAAGGCCCCAATCTCCGAAAAAGGAACGAAAAATGCAACCCTGCACATTTATATCGTCTCACTCGGCAGATCCATGCGCTTCATGCAGTGCCCCGCAGCAAGTGTCGCCGCCTAAAGCCAGAGGCCGCGGAACCAAACTTCAACACCCAACACCTTCCACATTGCCGGCGCGCAACGCCGGCTGATGTGTACACTCAAAGTCAATCCTCAGCACCGTCCAAGCCAACGCCTGCCGCCATGGCGGCCGGCAGAAGGGACCCAGCGCCCCGCCCGCCGAGATGAATGAAAATACTCGCGCATCCCCAGTGTACTCTTACACTCTGCTGGCAGCAGTTATGCTCAAAGTGCCGAGGGTCGTCACGCGCCCCACCGCTCCCTGTTGTGCGCGGGGGCGCGGCTTGTGCCGCACTGGTTATTCGTGAGCATCCCGACAGCTCAGGAGAAGATGGCAAGTCTCGACTTGCGCGTTGCGCCCACCAAACCCAAACCCAAACCCTAACAAACCCAAAGCCAAAGCCGAACGAAAATGCGACGAAGAGAAGCATGCATCGCCCTGTGAAGACAGCCATCCCGGTTGCTGTTGCAGCAACCCCCATGTCAACACCACGTTTCAAAATCCAAATCCTGACTGTCGCCCAGCCAGACAGCCTTCAAAATTGCCCCTCCAGACAGAGGTCCCGCAGTGAGGTTTCCTTCGCCTGTCGAAATAGAACCCAAAGGGCTTTCATCCATCACATTGCTGGGCCAACGGGTGCCCAAACCCTCCGCCCTTCCCCACTTGCCAGACGCCCTTCGCCTTTCCCAGCTTCCCAACTCTGCCTCCCGGCTCAGTGGCAAAAGCTCCTAATACAGCCACTGACACGGCCGTCCGACAGCCCTTTATTTGCGCTCTGAATGTACTATCGACGAAATGTCACCAAACCTTAAATACTGCCACTCCCACACGTCAGAAACATATTCTTGTGTCGCCCTCGCTGTGGGGCCATTCAAAGTCTTTTGTTCGCGACTCCTAAAACGTGCGAGCCCCAGAAAGCCGCGCCCGTGCGTCAATGTACAACGAGGATAGCGAACGCCCTGGACTTGCTGACCCTGCTTCAGGCCATTCGGGATTTCCTTGCGACCTTGCCCCTCAGCCAGATGTTCGAATTCCTGGTCAGCCGCGCATCATTCTGGAACACAAGCGCATCGAAAGTCAGTGCGCTGCTACACGCTGTGGACAGGCCGTTTGAGATCTCAAACGTCCACAAACACCTATGTTCAGGAGTATTCTGGGAACAAACATTGCACAGGTCAAAAGTGTCCGTCATCATCTTGTCGAAGCAAAGGTGTTGTTTGCCCATCGTACACAGCATTTATTACATTTATTACAACAAACAAATGGGGAGAAGCCACGGCGTTGGGGGCAAAAACGAGCTCAAAAATCAGGTCCAAGAGCTGGCCTTTTCCACGAGGCCGCCCAAACAACGCAGGGCTTTTCACAGAAGCTTCAAAATGGGCCCTAAACTGGTGGAATGGGGTCCAAGTGTGTGGTGGAGGGGCATTCGAAAAGTTGGCACACGCAGACATGATTTGATGTAGAACTGTTACAACTCACACTTGTGGGATTCCAACGGCTGTGCTCCAACTAAGATTTCAGGTGTAGTCATCTTTATTGGGGACTTTGCATCGGCTAGACCAGTACGCTTATTGGTGCACAAAGAGACTAGATTGGCGCAATGATATGTTAAAATCTTGCACCCAATCATAAATGCATCTGAGCTCGACAACCCTGCTGCCCTTGGAAGCTTGTAGACCATACCACAATCTGTCCTATCATATTCTGACAAATCAATTAAATGGGCTGACCGTTACCACAAGGGAACTGGTTCGTCACGTTTTGCTTGACGCCACCAGACCTGGTTTGTGCAGTGCAATTTGTTGCAGCGGCCCTCTAGTTACTGAATTTGTATAGTTACTGAATTTGTACGCATGTTAAAGCAGCACTCCCAACCCGCAAGGGGTTGTCTCACAAGCCAGCCTCGCCCACCGTCTGGAGGCGGCCGGTTGCGGCAGAAGAACCGGCCAAAGAAGCGTGAGACCAGCCCTGCCCCGGACGTCTTCCTGGCGCGGTCGCGCGTTGTGGACGGGCTCCTGTCCAGGATGGTGTGTGTGTTGCGCCCGCACAGCAGCCTGTTCTTCACGAATTCCGCGGGGCTCCAGCTCTGCCAGCTCTCCTCGCTGCACACCGACGCGGGCCGCCGGCCCCTCTGGGGCCGCCCCTTGCGGCAGGTCACAGCGTCCCCCTCCTTGCAGGGCTCGCCGAAGGACCGCATCAGCGCCTTGGCCGAGTCCTGAAACTCGCGCTCCCATCCCGCCATGCAGGCGGCCTCTTTCGCGGCGGCCTCCTCGGAGGTGGAGGACACCTGGGCGTTTGCGCCGGAGCCTGAGGCGCCCGATCGGGTGTTTTCCCAAGACCCCTCGCCGCCCACGGACGCCACGCTGCAGTCGAAGCTGAAGGACATGCCGCAGTAGTCGTCAGACATGTCCAGCTGGCCCGCGCAGGTGGGGAAGGCACCGAGGCTGTCGTCCTGCATCAGGGACAAGTACGGCCCGTCGGCGGTCGGGGAGTCCTCCCCTTGGGACGCAGGATCCGCCATGGGGAAGAAGTCCACCACCTTGAGCCCGTCCGCGCCCGCCTCGCCGTCGCCCCCGCCCGCAGCGCCCGAGCCCCGGCCGATCGCGTGGAGATCCACGCTGCCCTTGTCCATCGTCTTGTCGGCGATCCACGCTGGGAAGGTCAGGTCCTGATCCACCCGGCCTAGACCGCGGATGTTGGCGCCATGGCGGGGCGCATCTCCACCCGGCAGGGCATCATCCACGGCCATCCGCACCCTGACCTGGTCGCCCTCCTCCACGGTCAGCTCCACCGACAGGCGCGGCCACTTCTCCTCCCGCGACGCGGCCGCCTCCAGCCCCTCCAGCTGCACGGGCCTGCCAATCACCTTGCCCTCGAATTCCGCCTCTCCCATCGCCAGCAGCGCCCACTGGCTGTCGCTGGACATCTGACTGTCCAAGCCCACGAGGGTCTGAGGCTTGTCGCCTTCTTCCCCACTGTCCCCACTCCTGGGCGACGAGACCTCCTCGACCTCCACAGGGTGGCTGACTACGAGAACGCGGTCCATTGCCCTCGAGGCAGCCATGGGCCCGTCCATGCTCAGCCTGGGTGTGGGCCTCTCGATTTGAGCCCCAGGAGGCTCCAGAGAGGGGAACTTCAACCGTGGAGAGGGGAATTTCAACCTTGGAGAAAAAGGACCGAAGCCGCAGGGCTTGCTGTTTGTAGGCTTACTGGACATGTTCTTGGACGCGGCTCGCAGGCTGTTGGCTGTTGCAAGGACAGAGCATGTGGTCCAGCAGAACATGAATTGCTCGTCTATTCTGCCCCAACTGCATTCCTGGTGAAACAGCAGAGGGTGCCTCAGCGCCACGTGCATGAGCTAGCCAACGGTACCCAACACCCCTGTGCATTTAAAACGAGCAAAAGCAAGCCTCCGATGACAGACATCTGGCACAGAACCTCGCTGAGGGAGTGCTGCAATCTTACTGGTGAATTACAAGTGCAAAAACACAGAACTTGGTCAGGGAGTTCTGAAAGAGGTGTGCAACCTGGCCCATTAGCTATGTGAGACAAACTGGCACCTTGATATGGAAAAGCAACTCCACCCTGTAATGCAGGGTCGCTGCTCAGCTGTGTAGGCAGCAGGTACATGGCACGCTATGTCACTCCTGCAGTTTCCTCTGACGTTACCAGATTCAGCCCAACCCCTTGCGTACAACTCCAGAGCAATAAATGAACTCCCCAGGATTGCTGTCGCCACCTAGACCAGTGATCTATTTCTGGAGCACATCTACTGTGTCTAACCCACAACCTTGGCTATGGACTCGAGCTCCTAGCACTGATGTCGGAACCCACTGGAGCAATATCTGACTTTCGTGCTTGGCAGCTGCATGCTGCATGTCAAGACATGCACAGGCCGCATACTTGACCTCTGCAACGTCC